CCTGGGATGGAACTCAGGCCCTTGCACTTGCAAGGCACTCACCAGAACCACTGAGCTAAATCCCCTTCTCATTTTCTACATGAGACAGGGTCTTGCTAAGCTGCTCAAGTGAGATTTGAATTTGCAGTCCTCCTGCTTCAGCCTTTCTCAGTGCTGGGACTATAGGCTTGCTCCTTCTGCCTAGTTCTAAATTATTTTTTATAGAGAAAAACTCCCAAAGTCTCACATGATAACATCATGCACTAATAGTGCATAAATGTGTCGCCTGTTCACTTCTTTCCAGGTAGACTTTGTAATGAATCTTCTGCTATCCTTCTGCATAATTGTAATTGTAACATTTATTATGGAAAAGGAGGATACCATTTTGCATTGGCTTTTTTTTTAAAAAAAGATATGTAATATCTGTCCACGTGGATCTCTTTGTGTGAAGTGCCTGAGCACCACGATAGCACATACCACTAAAATGACAGGAAGCAATGCTAATTATGTGTGCCTGTTGAATGTTTTTATGTTCAATGCCCCATGCTAGGCAATATCCTCCACCCATAATCAACATTTTATTGAAGTAAGGGATATTATTGTCCTGACTTTATACTTAAGTAAACTAAGATTTAGCATTCTTAAGTAACTCTGAATGATAACGGATATGTACTGAAGCTAAATGTAAACCCATGGCATCTGCTGCCTGAGTTTGTTCTCTTCCCCATAGATCATGCTACTAATATGAGGCCTGAATATCCCTATTACTGGAAGCTCCCCAGGAATATCCAGAGTTGAAAACATGTTTTACCATATCACATTGTAGAAACATTGACCAAGGAGTTATGTTGGAGAGCTTTAGGAAATGCGTATGTACTTTATTTTTTCAAAATCAGGGAAAAGCAGGGCTGGCATTGTAGCTCAGGGTTACAGCACTTGCCCAGCATGTGCAGAGTCCTGGGTTCGATCCCCAGCATCAAAACAATAAATTAATAAAGTTTAAAAAATAAAAATATAAAAGCAAAAGACAAAAAAGAGAAACCACTTAACACTTACAGGTTCTAGACTATCTTAACTACTGAAGAAATGTTTTGTTGCTAAACTTTATAGTTTGCTACATTTAAAAACATGAATCATTCTTCAAGTATCTTACATATTTAATATGCAAGCTCTTGGTGACAGTGTAAAGGTAAACAGAAGCTGTGGCTTACCAGAGAATCCACCATGGGTTAGCATTTGCCCGGTTTGTCCTACTTTTTTTGACAAGTGTTTATAACTCTCCCAAGACTGGATTATGGACTTCAATGGTCAAGTTTAAAATTATAAGGAAACTTCCACATCACTGATCTCTTAAGATTATAATTATTAATAATAAATAATTTTCAACAGACTTTTTTGCTGATATATTTTATCAGATCTACAGCAAAAATTTACACAAATATTTCCCTTTGAGAAGACAGTGAGAAATGAGGCTGATTTGATTGGAACTTTCCATGACTTGGAGAATGTCAAGTCATTGCAAATGCTTTCTTGGGATTTATTATATTCCTGTATATTAAGTTAAGGTCCTTTCCATAAACTATTCATAGAAAAATGTCTGAAACTAGTGAAATCCAGATGAGGTTGGATAACTCACTTTGGAAATGGACAGACAGAGCTATAAAGTTGAGAAGCAAAAATTCTAACAAGACCAGGAATACTGTGGCCACGATCTTATCACTGCGATGGAAGGAAATCTTTATATTTTCATCTAATGATCTTGCAAAAGATCTCTGTCTTTTTTCCCTTCTAAAGATTCAAATTCTTGGATGGAGCTCAGTGGTTCTGTCACCTGCTTCACAAGCTCAAGGTCCCAAGTTCGATCCCAGGTACCAAAAAAGAAAAAAAAAAAAAAGATTCAAATTCTCGAGCAAGGCCCACTAAAAATTTTAGCATGAGCTATCCATTTAGTTTAGTTAAAGAGAAAAGGCAGAAACCAGGGTCTTTATTACAGTTCCAAGAGACTGTTGAGTAGGAATGAGTAGGGAAATCCCTCAAAAGCAAGTTGGATTCCATTTGAGAAACAAACTCTGGACAAACAAAAGACCAAAATAGTTTTGCATGAGAAATGGAAATTACAGTGAAGCAGGCATTGAGGATAGACCAAGCAAGCCCCTCCTCCTGTTTTGCTGAAAGGTTTGACTTTTGTTATGAATATTAAAAGCAGAGTGTGTGGCTCACTCCTATAATCCCAGCACTCAGGAGGCTGAGGCAGGAGGATCACTGTGCATTCGAGACCAACCTGGGCTACATAGTGAGTTCCAGGTCAGTCTCAACTACATAGTGAGACCCTGTCTCAAAAAACCAAAAATAAATAAATAAAATGTCAGAGCCTATAAAGGTAGAATATTTAGTAAAAAACAGAATTATCTGAGTCATGAGCCTATTCCAAGAAAAATGTGAAATCTTTGTTAAAGCTCTTGAAAAATTTAAAATAGATGTAAGACAATAATGACTGTTGTCATTATTATCAATCTTGCCCTAGAAATTCTAACTCATGAGGTACATTAAGGTATGTATATAATAATCATCATTGTTGGAAAGAAGATAAAAGAATATTAAGAATAGCATTATTATCTATAATGAAATCCAAAAAAGTCAACTGAAAAGCTAATGTAAACTTTATGATATATCGACAATATTAAGTACATTACAATGAAGTGGGTTAAAATGTACTCAACATCTAGAAATAATTTTAGAGGAATAGATGTGAGCAAATTAGGAAATCCACAGCCAGGAGAGGCTGTACATGCTGCAATCCCAGCAATCTGAGAGTGGGGTGGGAGGATCTCATGTTCAAGCCTATCCTGGGCAATTTATTGAGAGCCTGACTCAAAAATAAGCATATAAAAAGGGTTGGGGTGTAGCTCAGTACAAAGGCTCTGGATTTAATCACCAGTATTGCAAAAAAGAAAAAAGAAAACCATTGAAGTTTGCTATGAAATTGTAAAGTATAGAAGAATTAAATGTTTTGTGCTTTCATTTTCTTTTTGAAATTTAACAAACAGGACTTGCAGGTGAAAAATATTCAAGGTATCATCTTAAACTAAGAGATTAAGGGCATCTTGTTTCATTATATTCAAAATTAAAATGTCAGCAATAGTATTTTTTCATGTACTAAAACAAAAATCTAGCCACAAGAATCAGACAAAATAGTCCTGAAACAGACTGCAAAAGAGGAAGGATTTAATATATCATCAGGAAATCATCACACTTGTGTGCAGAGGACTGTAATATTGATTATGCCCAAAACAGATTGTGAAGTGTTAACCCCACAACTGGCTTGTTTATAGAAGTGAGTCTGGCCGAAGCCACTTGCTGAAGTCAGATAACTCGCATCCAAATTCCATTCCCACCACCAAAACCTTCAGACTAGAAGGACAATGTTTTAATTGCAATCATATATTTTGTCTTTTCTGTTCTTAATTTGAGAATGCTTTTTCTTGTCTGTTCTGAGCCTTGTTTACATTCATTTCCATAGAAACCGTAGCTGCCTTTTCCCCAATTGATTGCCAATAGGTCAGTGCCTGGGGCTGTCCAGTGCCTTTGCTGGTTGCACTGATACTGGGAGCCCTGGCACCCCGCTTTCTCTCCTTTAGCTCTGTTTCCTAGTATATTCTTTTTCTCAGGCCTGCATCACTCACTGGGCAGGTGTGTACTGGAACCTGACTACAGGGGTCCCTAACACTTGCCAACAAACATTGACAAGCAAGGGTGTGCATTTTAGTTTCATTCAAAATTGACTGCCTTACCCTAATTCACTCATGAACAGAAATCACTAGTATTATTGAATAAATTCACATCCCTATAGATTTTTAACCTGAAACAAACTATAGGAAGTCTACATGAAAATCTCAATAGCAGAAGAATGCTTGCCCACTTCCTATTAGGGAAACTACTATTTGCTCCTCTTTTTCATTCTGTACCTGCCATCTTAAAAGTCACAGGGTGTCCATTCTGGAAATGTCACCTACTGACACTCACACTGGCCTTCTTTGATGGGCCACTGCCTCTGCTTGCAAACCACAGAGTCCAGCAAATGTTTTTCATTCCAAATAGTCTGCATTTTAATTTCATCACGCAATGTCTAACCTTGAAATGTGGCTTCTGGAACAGAAAACAGACAGAAATTTCACTTCTGTTACTCTTTTAAAAGAAATGAGCAAAAACAAATGGTAGATGATAGAGAATGGTTAGGAAGTTTTTGTTTATTCATACAAAGTAATCATTTACAGCCACCAAAAATAATATTTTAAACAATTTTAAAAGATTTACTTCTTTCCAAGAAGTGAGTGGAGTGCTATTTTATTTAGGTTTTGTTATATTCCTTATTTTGGTGATATGTTCTATTTTCAAAATTATTTACAAGCATGAGAACCAGGAAAAAAATTGTTTTATAGAGATAAAGAGCAAGATGTTTAAGGATTGGGTAAATATTAATAAGAATATAAATAACAAATGTATACATAATTAGTAATAATAATGTGTACTTTTAGTTGACTTTGTGAAAAGGTGAATGTATAGTTGCCCTTCAGGATCTTTGGGGGCTTGGTCCAGGATCCTCACCAGAAGCCCAGGTCCATCCATGCTGAAGTCCCTTGTGTAACATGGCACAGTATCTGCATAGAACCTGTCCTCATCCTCTAATGTACTTCACGTCATCTCTAGATCACATGTAATACCCAATATGATGTGTAATTGTTTAGAGAACGGTGACAAGGGAAAAACATCTTTACTGCACAAGTTCTGTACAGATGCGAATTTTTATTCGCAATTTATCTGAGATTTTTTTTTAATCCACAGAAGTAGAACCTATAGATATAGAGGAACAACTATACAAAGGTGATAATCATAAATACATATGCAACAAAATCATTCTAATTTACATCCCCAAATACAGCTGAGACAGGTACCACTCTCAGCTGACAGCACGTCATCCAAAGACAGAAAATGTCCTTTAACATGTAGGACCTTAAATGTTGAATTTACAAAGCTGAGTGTGTACATGAAGAATGGCAAAGATCACATCTACCTTGTCCCAAATAGGAGATGAGAAACAAACATCATCATTTAGCTTCCCCTCCAGTGTGCTTTGACTCAATAGCTGATATAAGACCATGTGGTTGGTTACATTGTGTTCATAAATATGATCATCAAATGTTTTGCAAGCCAGTAAAATATAATAATTCTATGGATTTGAGTCTAAAAATACTTTACATCTGGATGAATCTTTTTGGAAAACTTTACCAAATAAAATGATCTTCAGTGCTCTTCTGAACCAGGGATAGAAAAATGCATAAACCATTGGATTAAAAGTAGAGTTCAAGTAGCCAAACCAAATGAATGCTTCATTCAAAGCCAGTGGAATAGTGTAGTTCAGGAAAGGGTCCACGATGGTGCAGACAAAGAAAGGGCACCAACATATAAAGAAAACTCCTAGCACAATCCCTAACGTTGTTGCAGCTTTCCTTTCTTTGCTTTGTGAAATTCCATTTTTCTCTTCCAGTCCACTTTGAAGTTTCTGATTTGTACCTTTAATTGATCTTGCCTGCCCTTTAGCCACAAGATATATTCTACAATAGACACAGAACATAATAGATCCAGGTATATAAAAAGAAATCATAAAGGCCAGTACTCCCGTTATTTTGCTAAAGAAGACAGCACAGCCCCCTGTGCAGTGAATGTGTTCGTAATACACTTCTTCAGCTCCTTTGATGTTCAGCTCCATAAAGATCATTCCAAATGCAAGAAGAGCGGGGACACTCCAGCTAATGAAGATCATCGCAAAAGTAACCAAGATGCTCATCCTGGCTTTGTATCGCAGTGGGTCACACACAGCATAGTAGCGGTCAATGGAAATGAAGGACAAGTGGAAAATGGATGCTGAGCTCAGCATAATATCAGTGCTGGTGTGAATTTTGCAGAAGACTTCTCCAAAATACCAACAGTGCTCCACAGATCGCACCATGCTGTAAGGCATGACCAGGCACCCCAGCAGGAAGTCCACAATGGCCAGGGAATGAATGAGCCAGTTAGTAGGGGTGTGAAGCTGCTTAAAGTGTGATATGGAAATGATAACTATCAGGTTGCCCACCAGAGTGCTCAGGATAATGAGCACCATGAAACTGTACAGGGTTACACGGACTTCACGGGACTGGCTGCTTTCCACACAGGAAATGTTCGTAACACAGTGGCACACAGGCGTCATCCCTGAGAACTCTCCACGAGCTTATTGTTGCCCTTGTGGGTTGAGTAATTGCTCTCCCAAACCCATAGTCAGGTTTGAGTTCCTTCTCCTTTTTTTTTTTTTCTTTGCACATACCTATCCCAGAAACCTGGGAGGAAAAAGAGAAAAAAGAATAAACCATGGGCAATTTTTCAACACACTTCTGAACATACCAAATGCTTCTCGAAGAATTATTTTGGAAGGAGCTTTAACTCCAAGGTCAGTTTTGTAGTTCATTTCAATAAATTTTAAACACCTGGCTGGAGCTGGATATAGTGCAAAAATATAAAGCCTAATTATTAGATGAACTACATACAATACTGCCACATTCATAGGTCAGAGATCAAGTGTCATAAGTTTTAAGCTATGGAAACAGTCTTCGTCCACAAGAAGCCAGAATCTAGCAGTGAGGTTTACATTCTAAAGAGCAAAAGTAAAAGAAACTTTAAAACTAAAATATAACAGTGAAAAAAAGAAACAGCTTAAATTTGACCCTTATACAAAATTAATACTCTCTAGCTCACTAGCGGCATGTGTGCTTAATTTTTTTATAACAGTACTAGGGATTGAATTCAGGGCCTCACAAAAGCAAGGCAAATGTTCTACTGAGTAATATTCCCAACGTTTTTTTTGTTTTGGTACCGGGGATTGAACTTGGGTCCTTGCGCTTGCAAGGCAGGCGACCGAACTGCTGAGCTAAATCCCCAGCCCCACAACGTTTTAAAAATTTTTATGCTTAGACAGTATCTTGCTAAGTTCCTCAAGCTGGTCTCCAATTTACCATGCTCCTGTCTCAGCCTCCTGAGTAACTGGAGTTACGGACAAGCCACCACATCTGACTAAGATAACTCTTATAACTGATTTAGTGAAAGAAGCTTATGAACATTTATTTCTAGTGCAAAGCACTTCTACAAATCTTCCATGCATTGTTTAATATCAACATCATTCCTTGTAAGGAAGACATGTGTATTTTGTTAGCCTCATTTTCTAGGAAAGAAACTGAAGGCTTTGGTTCACTGAGCCATTAAAGCTGGAACATGATCTGAGACTGAAATTACAAGTTCAATTTTTTAATCAGTCTAGTTATTCTTTACACTGCAGAAAGAATCAATTCAAGATACACTAAGGAACACTAAGCTTTGAACTTCCATGTGAGACTTAAAATATATCTTAGCTAGACCTGGGGATGAGCATCTATTGATAGGGAAAACTTTAATAGTGAAAATTTAGGAAATGTCACAATATAAGATAACTTCTGCCCCTCATTCTGCTTAGTTCAGAATTAACAGGTACCGGAGGCACTTAGTCTCCACCAAAAGTTTAGTAAGTGAAAAGAACCATTGTTAGCTTTGTTGACCAAACAAGCTCCCTTGCCCTGGCTAGAATAGGTAACTGAATAAATCTTAAAGGTAACTTCCCTGACAAAGAACTGCATCAGGGATGAAATTCAACTGCCTTGCTATCATGTTTTGGGTATCAGCAAAGTGAGCTGTGAAAATGCAACGTAACCAACTGAATAAGATCAAGGCTGTAAAACCCTATAAAAGAAGGAGTTGTAACCCAATGGGGGAGTTGATCAGGGCACTGCCATTAGGTGTCATCAATCCCCATTGATGAAGTAAACTTTTTCATTTTACTTCTGTTCTGCTGCCTCTCTGTGTGTCACTTGCCAATTCCTTCCATAACACTATAATCCCAGCACTCAGGAGGCTGAGGCAGGAGGACGGCAAGAGTGAATTCAAGGCCAGCATGGGTTACGTAGTGAGACTGTCTCCCAAAAATGGAAAACAAAAACATATTTATAACATCTTAAATACTGACACCTTTAGTAAGTATAATGGTGGAGTTCCACCCATCTCGGGATTTTTAATAAGCAGATTAAAATCCATGGTAAGAAGAGACAGAACACAGGGAGGAGAACCAGAGAAGTTGAAATTTGACGTGAGAGGTAGGCAGGGCACAAGATCTCTTTTGATTCTGTCTGTCTGTCTGCCTGACTGCCTGTTTATTTAGGATCAACTTCTTTCTTATCAAATCCCAATTTATAAAACAGAGGAGAGGAAAGTTTACTAAAAATAGAGATGTCACCTTCTACTAAGCCTCCTTTTCTCACGCCTCATTAAAGAAGCCCGATGTTCCATTAGATGCCATTAATTTGAAAATGTCTCTTTTGTTTCTGTATGGTGCTGTCATTCTGGGTCCATTTTTGTACAAATATAAGGGGCAAGGAGGGAAGGAGGAGGAAAACAAACTCTGTGAAGGGGAGAGGAGAGAGGAAACTGGAGAAAAGGAGAGAGGAGATGAGGGGAGGGGAGTGGAAGGAGGAACAAAGAATCGGAAAAATATCCAGAACATGCACTGAGCAGGAGACATGGTGAAAGATTAAAGGGATGAACAAATTAGTCTAGCATGGAGACCACCATGTGGAGAAGAGGCAGGCACACTCCTGGGCTCTTAACTCAGGACCTGCTATTTTTAAAAAGTAGAGAATTTTTCTTTCCTACCATCCTCAGTGACTTTAGTGACCGCAAAAATGAGGTACATTAATAGCCAGTTGTGGTGGTGCACACCTATAATCCCAGCACTTGGAAAGCTGGGGCAGGAGGGTTGCCATGAATTCAAGGCCAGGCTAGGATACACAGCGACTTCAAGACAGCACAAACAATATAGTGAGACCCTGTTTCAAAAAAAAAAAATTATTAAATTATAGAATCCAAAGAGTAAACTAAATGAGAAAATAAAATTGTTGGAAGCAACACAAAAAAGACAACAAACAAACTCCCAAGCACTTAAGTTCATGATTTATGTTTTCATCTCAAACATGCAGGGATTAACAAACCGTTTTTACTGCAATAGTAGCCACTATTTACTCAGACCTACAGATACCCAGCAGCTAATAAAACCAGGACAGAGCCAGGGATTTAATTCAGTGGTTCCACCATCTGCCTTGAAAGTGCAAGGACCCGAGTTTAATACCCGGTACCCAAAATACAAAAACAAACAAACAAAAAAACAGGACAAAGCCTGGGATCTCTGCCTTCATTTTGCATCCGTCTTGCTTATTACCTTAAAACTTTGGATCAGCTTCCTGCTCAGCTCCAGAGGGATGCTGATTAATTGTTTAGGGAACGTCTGTCTAAAAACTGGTAATACGAGGTTTTTCAGTAGTAAATTCACCTAACTTATCTCACTCCGCTTCAAGACCGAGGATATCAGATAAGAGATTTGCAGGACATTCAGTGTTCCACTCTCACCCAAGTCATGGACACCTAGCAGTCTCCAGCAGCTGTCCCAGTCCTGCAGTCACCTTGGATTCCAGCAGAGCCTCCTGGAAACTGAGATTCCCCTTCTCAGCAAGAGCGATCATTTCGCAGAAATTGGATTGTCCCTCAAGCTACAAGGACTTCCCCTAACAGAGACATAAGACCAGCACTGAGATCATGACCAAGCCAGCCCGACACCATAAAACTGGCCACTTTCCTTGTTATCCGGCCAGCAGCCTGGGTGTGTCCATCAGAGCTGTGCTCTCTTCAGCTTTCCTTCCCCACTGTCACCACTGTCTCCATTCTGATTTCCTTTATCACTAAGGCAAGCAGGGGCTGAACTGAGGAGTTTATTCTTGGCTGTGTACCCAGGGGCCGATAAAAGTGAATGCACATACAGCTGGCCTGGTTCTGAATTCCAAAGATAAAGGGCAAAGTCTTATAAGCTATCAGCTAGCCAGTTAGTTAGACAGACAGACAGACTGACTAAAAAACTGACTAAAAAGGCTGGGGATGTAGCTCAGCAGCACAGCGCCTACCTGGCAAGCTTGGGTCCCTAGATTTGATTAATAGTACTAAAAGAAAAAAGCTGGTTAAAAAGAAGTGTGCTTTGGGGGTGTCTCTGTGGACGGTCTGCCCAGATTGCACAAGGCCCCAAATTTGATCTTTAGCACCTCAACAGAGAAAAAGAAAATCCATAGAACTACTCATCGGTCGTACTGGAAACCAGAGGCCAGAGACCGAGTTCAGAAATTCAGTAGGACATATGATGGCCATTCACCAACCCTACATGCAAGAGTAGCAGTGATCTGTGATGTGCTCTAAATTCTTGATATTTTCCCAGAGATGATGAAATTGAAGCAAATATATTTAGAGAATGACTAAGAAAAAAAAGCTAAACTAAATTTTAACAACAGTTTTTCACGGGTAGTATAATACTAGGTCAATTTTACTTTATTCTTTTCTACTTATTTCATGTTTCTCAAAGACAGAGAAATAATTATTTAATAAGTTAAGTGTATTTTCTATGAATAAAGTTCCATTTCTTACAAAACTACTGACTAATTACTAATAAATTTATTTTATTTGTGTTTATTTTGCTTATATAATTCTTTGCATGACTTAATTACTGATTTTACTCTCATAGTAAATCCACAGTTTGCTAAATTTATGAACTGCACCCATTTCCTGGTTTTAGTCTACTACACAAACTTGGAAACAGACTTGGAAATTGAAAACCTCTACAAATATGCATGATGCTTCCTAAGTTAAAACGAGGCAATAGACGTAACATGGAAGCAGACTTAAGAATAATTTTATCCCAGAAATATTTTTTGCTGCTCTGTAACTTATCTAGTACTTATTTTTATTTTTTTTTACTTTAATATTTGAGGAAATATTGAATTTTTTTTCCTCATTGAGTTTATTGGTCCATTTTAGGTATACAGTACAGTTACATTCATTATTGGGGTCTTGTACCTTTACATGACAGGTCTTGGTTCTCATTTTAGTACTTATTTTTAAGAAGGGAAAGGGACAAAAGACAGGAGAACAGGCTTTCCAAATGATTTAATCATTTTTCTTGAGGTAAAACATTATTAGAAACAAAACATTCTTATTCCAAATAAACAGGATCTGTGGAAAAATCTATGTGTTTGCTTACACTCAGCACAGGCCTACAGTTAAAAGAGAAAAATAATCTCTAGTAAATTACAGTAAATAGACTATCCATGAAAATGCTTCTACTATTTTTAAATGTATGAGGTAATATGAATCAGCTGTAATTAATCATTTAGGCAATTAAAAGCGTATTAAATTAATTGATGCTATATATATCACACACGTACATACACACACAGACTCAAACATGATGTCTTTTGGAAATACACCAGCACTTTTCTCACCAGATAATATTGATACAAATAAGACTTACGTTCTATAGATTAGTATACAGTAACAATGAAACATATTTTAATTTCAAAACCTCTACAAATATGCATGAAGCTTCCTGAAGTTAAAACTAGGCAATAGATGCAACATGGAATTTTCTTCTTTATTTACCAAAAAAGGAGAAAAGGAAAAATAGACTTCAAATTTTAAAATATCCTGGTTTTTTCACAGATGGATTTTTAATAAGAGAAACACTTTAAGAGATTATTTATATCATATTCTGGTTTCTCTGTAGATTGCATAAATCTTTCCCCTTTTGAAATTACACATGAAGCAAGTTATTTAAAATTTTATTTTTTCAAAGATTCTCTTACTAAAGCAGGGAAATTACAGAAGCACTGATCCTCAATTCTACTTCACAGGTGAGCAGCAAACCACTGCGTTTCACAGGCATCAGCATCCTCCCTATAACGAGAAACCACCCAGGCCTTTGGGTTCATCTGTCAGCTGCTTGGTGGTGACGAGCTCAGACTTACCTTCCTGGTGAGACAGCAGGTACGGCCAGGGCGGGAGAGCCACAGCCAAGACTGCCTTTGGCCCAGGTCGTCCTCATCTGTGTCCAGTACATCTGCTGCTGGCGAGGGCCCACTGCAGCTCTGACAAGCCACGGTTAATGTTAACAGAGCAACACAAACATTAAAACCTGAAAAAGATAAGCTGATAATAAATGTTTCTGAAGCAACCTAACAGTATGTTATCAAGAAATATAACCAGGAAGTGCTTTTATTCTAAACCATCATCGGGAAACTAGCTATGAGAAAGCTAAATAGAGAAGGTAAATATCACCGTCAAAATAAATCCAAGCACGGGTCGCCCATCATTACAGCCACGAGTGTTACTAGTGTGTAAATGAAAACACCTGTCCATTAAACTTGATTTTTATCGGCTGGGGATTTAGCTCAGCGGTTTGGTGGCCTGCCTTGCAAGGGCAAGGACCTGAGTTCAATCCCCGGTACCAAAAAAAAAAAAAAGAAAAAAAAGTTGATTTTATCATTGATTGATTTGAAAGACAATCCTCCTCTATTATACATCCATAAAAAGGAAATAAGTAGTACTTAAAAAGCAATTCACTTTCAAAGAAGATGGCATGTACCCACCAATTGAGCATTTTTGTTTTTTGAGACAAGGTCTATGCAGTTCAGGCTGGCCTTGGAGCTCACTACGCCATCCAGGCCAGTCTCGAACTCGCTGTAATCCTCCTGCCCAGGGTAGGTGCTGGGATTATAGGCATGCACCACCTCACCCTGCAAAATGAACATTTTTAAAAATCAGAATGCACCTAAACCTAGTGACATTTTATAAATTAGATAAAATTTGACTACAAATATGTAAAATTACTGTGTGCCAGTAAAAAAAAATTTTTTTTGTTTTAGTAGAGCAATTGCCTGGTACACTTGAGGGTCTAGGTTTAATTTCCAGTATTTGCAAAGACAGAAAATGTTTTTAAAGAATATAGTTGAAAGCAACAGATTTCAACCTTTTTAAACCATAGCTTCTAGGGACAAAAACTTGTTATATCCTAACTCAATGCATATATGGGTGTGCATATACAATAATAGTAAAGATGCTTATTAAAAAATATCCCTACAGCTGTCACTGCTGTTTTCATTTATTGTAGCTTATATCTTCTCTAGTGGGATTTATAAATCTATAATGTTGCTAACACCTATTAGAAAAATCTTGCCATAGAGGTCTGATGATCATACATATTTATCCCATTCGTTTTTAAATTCCTATGTGCACAACTCCCCAAAATGACCCTTTATACTTGACCATTTTATACTTGGAGTGAGTGTCTTCAATGTAGCACAAAGAACAGCTGGAAGAGCACTTTCTTATCTATTTGTATCTGTTTTTCTGCATTAGGAAATCACAGGATTGTAGGACAGATTGATTATTAGTTCAATTTTTCACCCTTTTAACATCCACACACTTGCCTTGTTTCACCGGTGATAGAACATCAAGGAGGTTATTCAGTTCAGAGCCTGATAACAGACCAAATATCAGCCATTCTCGTAATTCTCCTTAAACTCCTTTCAGAAAACAGCCTCAGTGATTAGAATTATCCTTATGATGCCAACTCTGAACCTTTCCATGAGCAATCCAGGGTAGAGAACTTTAGAGAATTGTCTGTGTATCAATTCTTCAGCCATTACAAATAGAGAGTTGGCATGTTCATAAGATGCTCTGTTTATGCACTTCAGGAAGTGTATTTTAGCTTTCTGAGCCATCCCTAAAGAACCACTACTTGAACATAATTTCTTTTTCTTTTTCTTATATTTTATTTGGTATCAGGGATAGAACTCGGGTCCTTGCACTAGCAAGGCAGGCAGGAGAACCACTGAACTAAATCCCTGGCCCTTGGATTTTTTTCTGAATTTAAATCTCCAACCCAGATATTATAGTCACACAGACCTGTAGATGGCAGCCTTCTACAAATTTTTCATCAGATGCGAGTTTTTATACTGGAGTCACCCCTTCTGCTGCAAAAGCCCAGGGATTTATCCCTCTCACACTGCCCACCACCACCCTGTGGGACAGAAAAGGTTGACATAAGCCAAGGCCAAAATTGGTACTATCAGATTTCCCACAGCGTGTCCTTCAGGTTTTTCTCTTTGTCATTGGGAGCTCTTGAAGGCAGAACCAGACACAAAGCCTGAGTATGACTACTGCCAATAACAATAGAGAGAAATAGAAGGCAAGAAGAGCAGGAGCAGGAAGATAAGAAAACGGAAGGAATAGAGGAGAGGGGAAGGAGTAAGAGGAAACCTAGAAGGAGGAAGAGAAAAAGGAAAAAAGGAGGGAGAAAACAGGCCATAGAGAATTGTTACTGACCCTGTACCGCTCAGGGCTAAACGCCTTGCATGAAATCCCAAGCTTGTTCCCACAAGAATCCTAAATAATAGGTGCTTTGTTTCCACTATTGTTTTAAAGAGGAAGGAACTGAAAATTAAATAAACTAGGGATGGCATTGCAGTTATATTCCATATTTATCTGACTTCAAGATTCTAGCTCTTAACCAACACCAAACATTTGGAAAAAATCAAACAAAGGAACTCACTTATCTGCAGTTGATTTCTCCCGTAGATTCTCCAAATGTCAGGCAGGGAAAACTGAGGTTACTGCATTAATGAGAACTTTACATAACACCCATCCGATAGAAAAGACGAATCTCATTTATGACATGCTAGGCAGATTGAAATAATGTGGTGACTGTAATTTTCAAAATAATATTTGTAATAATCTTATTCACTAAAAGTATTTTATATTATCAGTAGACTCTGAAGATAATTTTCACCTGTTACTATTGTCATGTGTACTTAGCTATTTTCAGGCTATCAGATTTTATTTTCTTGCTACAGTGCTTTTATGAGCAATCTCTGTAGCAACTAATTTCCTACCTCTCGTTACACCTGACAGCGGGCTTTTCAATTGGATTTTACTCATATTGTGACAGCAAACAAACCTTCATTGTGTTTGATAGAGCAAGATGAAATATTACCATACGCAGGAAGAAAAAAGTCACCTGCTCCACAATTAATTGCCATAAGTCAACATCATAAACTGTCAAAATAGCATTTTGTGATACTAATGTTTCTATAACCCAATTCAAAGTTTTTCCAATTAACATCTCTACCATGCATGTTGCCTGAACATAACTATTTATCAGGTAATTTACCACCAGAGTGACAGGCAGGTCCTATTTTCTTTGACATGATGCCAAAGTGTCTAGAAACTGTTGATAGCTATACAGCTGTTCACACTGATAAGAAGCTTTTGCTGTATTTCTGTGGCTGAATCACCACTGGGAAGGATTATAAAACAGAAAATTAGAAGAACTTGGTCTTCTGTTCATTGATCCTTTTTTTTTTTTTCTTTTTTTTTTTTTGGTATGGGGATCGAACTGAGGACCTTGTACTTGAGAGGCAGGTCAACCACTTCTTAATGTATTAGAGGGAGGTTCGCCCGTGTCATTCTCTCCCACACTGTGTCCTGCATGACGACTGCAAATGTCAGAAGTGACATCACATCTGTGATTGGGTCATAAAACACTGTGACTTCCACTGAGTTGCTCTCTTTCTCTCTCTCTCTCCACTCTGGGAGAAGTCAGCTACCATTGTGTGAAAACTTTCCAGAGTCTTACAGAGAGGCCCATAGGGAAAGGAAGAGTGGCCTGCAGCCAACTTGCAGCAAGGACCTGGGGCCATCGTCGCCACATGAGCGAGGTTACCGCAGATTCCCCAGCCCCAGCAGAGCCTTGAGCTGGCTGCAGCCCTGGTCGCAGCTCAGCTGTGGCTTCCAGAGGCACCCTGAGCCAGAAGAACTCCGATGAGCCCTGCCAGATCCTGACCCTCAGAACCTGTGTATGGCAATAAACTGATTTTTTGTTGCTGTTTTATTTCTTGGGTGATTTTTTTTCTTTTGGCTTTTTGAGACAAGGTCTCACTATATAGCCCAGGCTGGCCTTGAACTTGTGTTGTCATCAGCGTGCCCACACGCAGAACAAGGTTCGGGAGCTCAGACTGGGAGGGTAAGGAGCAGACTCACCAAGCAGACTCCGGGGAGGTTTCTGGAACGCTTCCGCTTTATTTAGGAAATGCACAGGCTTATATAGGGACAACCATGGGGGAGGAGCATGGGAGGAGCATTTAACATTTGGCGATATCTTATTGGAGGCACGGTGGAATGATTTTTCTTGGGCGAAGTGAAGGAGTCACAGACTAGGGGAAGAGATGTAGCCTGTTGGACCCAACATCTATGCACTTAGGCGAGTTAGCTGAGCCTTAGCAAGGTCCCCGATTAGCTCAGGAGACAGGAGTGCAGTGCACCTGGCCCAGCCAGGCTTGAACTTCTCCCACAAACTTGCAGCCATCCTCCTGCCTCAGCCTCCTGAGTGCTGAGGTTACAGGGGTGCACCACCACACCCAGCTGTTGTTGTTTTAAGATAACAATGTGAAAATAATTTGTTATACCACAGTGGGTATAATATAATATAATATATATAGCTAATATTGGGCCACAAAAAAGCATTTGATTATTCGAAGCTCTTAATATTTTAAGCCTGTCATTGACAGTCAGCATTTTCTGCTTTAAATTAATAATAAATGACAGTACTAAGGCTTACCCTGTTTCACTTTTGTTTCTTTTACTTTTTCTTTTTTTCCCCTGTTCAAGGAACCTGCTTGAAAGGCAGGTGCACCCTGGCTAAATCCCTGGCCCTGATTAACTCGTTTTCTATACACATAACAGCCTTTCCTATTTTCTTAGAATATTAGTTAATGCCACACAAAAGCACAAGATGGCTTTTCCTTAAACATGTTTTGAGGAGATAGCATTTTCAAGAACCGCATCTGCCATGGAAGGCATGTCTTGCCAAACAGTGCGCTGGTGGTGTGGATCATGCTGAAGTACCCTATTGCTCTTGGAGAAGGGCTTCTGGCACAGAGGCTGTGACAGACATCAGTGTCCTGGGGGCAGTATCAGTTGAGAGATATAAACCGCCAAGGATGATTTTTGTTTCACTAAGATGTACAATGTTGCAAGATTCTGCTATTACTGAAAAAGGACGTGCCTCGCTCTCACTCCATTAAATACTGTTTATCAACATTGTGACTTTCTGGTTTCTGACTCCTACGGACCTCCCGCGCTCTGCTGGTTTCACTATCAAGGCTTCAGCAGCTCTTCCCCGGAAGGCTGTGCTGCAGTTGTGGACACTCAGGTGAGCCGGATGTTCCTACTAGGCAAGAATTTGGTTATGGAGGAAGACGGTGAAGGACAAGCAAGGAAGGCAGACAGAACTTCATATTAGTTTGCCACGGCTGCCTTAACAAAGTGCCACAGATCGAATCACTTGGATAACAGAAATGTATTGTCTCATGATTCTGGGGGCTAGAAGTTCAAGATCCACAGGGTGGCAGGTTTGAATTCTCCTGAGACATCTCTCCTTGGCTTGAGGCTGGCAACCTCCTCTGGAGGATTATGCAGCTCCATTCTGTACCTGGCGTCCGAATTCCCTCTTCTCATGAGGACATTAGTACACTGACTCACGATCACCCTCGTGAACTCATTTTATCCCTTCAAATATTCTGCAAATCAGTCACATTTGGAGGTACTGGGAGCTAAGGCCTTCAACTATCTAATCTGGGGGACACTATTCGGCCCATAAGAGAAATGAAATATATTGGTAAATCAGGTAAACAATTAGCAGAGGAAACAATCACTGGAAATCTTAAGCAGAACTGAGTAAGAGATAAAATTAAAGTGATAATGGAAAAGTATACTGTGGTATATTTTGATGTGCTTTTCAACTGAAATTTTTATTTCCTCTGCATGTGTGTGACGCTCAGTCGGTACAAGTTCCTCAGTTCTAAGAAAGACAAATTATCTACCACAGTTTTTTTTTAATTTACCTTAATATATATTATACTCAGCTTACATTTCTGCCATGTGTGTTTATCTAAGTGAATGTGTTTTAATCATTCATTGATATCAGAGTTGTTTACTATTAGCAAAAGCCCAGACTAGTCCTTTACTCAGCTCTCATGTTTAAATTATCCCAAATAAAAGATATATGTAACTATCCTACCAACACAATGAATATACAACCGATGTTATCACCATTAACAGTACTCGTGGCATGGCGGCTGTGAGCCTGGGTGAGCCGTTTGTCTCATCCTTGTCGTACAGCCTCCCAAACAAAGTGACTGTCAAGACAGGTCTCGAGGTCGGCCGCAGGCTCAGCAAGCGCCCATCACTCGTCACCTAAGTGCAACAAGAGAAGTAGACCTTTAAGATACAGTCCTACGACAGTCATTTTAAGATGAAGAAGAACCAATAACAAATGCTGGCCAAATTCTGACCTGTTAGAAATATTTGAAGGGCTGGAGATGTAGCTCAGTGCTTGACAAGTAAGCACAAAGCCCAGGTTCTGTGGTCAGCAACACACACGTGCACACACACACACACACACACACACAGCCACTTTAGAAATACTTGAAATGTTCCTAGCACAACTGGGAAAATTGAAGCTATGGGACTGGCACTGATTGATTGATTCCAGAAATGTAGTTCTTTCAGGTAAATTTTTTTTTTAAGGTCTCCTCCGAATGAGCAGAAGTGAATGACGGAGGTGAGGTTCGAACTGAGTCTCTGTGGCCTCCTCCTGTTGCTCACTGCCCGCCTCCCAGGCCTCCTGCCCCCTCACCCCGACACACACACACCCCGAAGTGGTTTCTGACCGGGAAGAGGAGTGGGAGCAGAATCTGCAGAGCTCAGTGTGAGGATGTGGCTGGGAGGAGCCCATGTGAGGCAAGCAGTTACTTCTGGGCTTTACCATTTGTGTTTTCCTGTCAGCAACAGCTACTGCCGAATTCTCTCCTTCAGGTCTCCCTTCTCTCCTTTTCGCCTGTGGTCACACTGGTCCTCCACCCACATGAGGAGAGGGATCCCTTCATCTTCCATGGTCCTAATGGGATTCTCTGCTGAGACTGATTCTGAGCTATTCTTGTGGAATCTTCTCCCTACTGGACAGACCATAAGCAGCCCAACCTCCTCCCTACAGCCCGAGTGAGATTCACTTCTTCATATCCAAGCACATACTATCACATTAGTGACTTGGAGGCAAGAAGTTCAGCCTGCTCAGTGTCCTCCCTGATCCACAAAGATAATCTGATCCTCTTCAAATGGAGATTTCCCCAATATTTGGATGCACTTGGGTGAGTTTTTGATGTCAAGAACGCTTCTTCTTTTATGAGATTAATTGACCATAACAAGCAAAGACCGCTACCTGAAATTCTCCGGGTGCGAGCTGAACTTCACTCAGCAAAACCTCAGGGAAGACATACTGGGTCCCAAAAGTGCCACTGAGGGAGAATGCCTCGAACCTGGTAGCAGCCGTGTCAACTGAGCCACCACAGCTCTTTAAATCAGTGGTTTTACACTTCAGCAGGGTGCAAATCTAGAGAAGTAAACCATCAAAGTGTCAGAGAAAGTCGTGTGCATGTAATTAACTTGATCTAATCATTTCACAATGTATATATTATCAAAATATCACATGCACCATACAATTCCTGTTAATCTCATCTCAATAAAGCTGTAGGGAGTTTTTAAAAATTAATTAATTAATTTAATGCTAGATGCTCTTCTTTTCAAAAAAGGTCATAAGAAAATCAATTGAAATATGCTGTATCTAGGGCCGGGGTTAGCTCAGTGGTTCCACTGCCTGCCTGGCAAGCAGAAGGTCCCAAGTTCGATCCCTGGTATCAAAAAAAAAAAAAAGACAAAAAAGACAATAAGGGAAATACAATGTATCTAAGAAAGTCACAGCCTTTGCATTTGAGCAAAGACCACAACAGTCAGTTAAGTTCTTCTTTCACTACACTATTTAAGAATTTCTATATAAAATCTAAGTAAGGAAACCATCTCAACACACAGATGGAAAGTTCCCAGGAGCAAGACCCGCATTCATTCAACTAGATCTGAATAGCATCTTCCAATTCATCTTCACCTCTTGCTTATCTCCTCCCTGCAAGTGTGCAGATGGCAGGCAGGCACTTCAGGGCAAGGGTGTTGAGGTGAAAGAAAAATACTCTGATATAAGACTGGGAAATTTATTCCAGGGAGGTAACACAGGTGGTCTTTAGATGAAGGTATGCATGATATAGTTGATGGGAATTACAGAATAAAATCATATTGAACATTAAAATATTTCCCTTCATTATCCACTACAAGCACCCCGAAAGGCCATTTCTCTAGGCTGACTCTATAAATGCTAAATGCAGTAGATTTATCTTTCATCAGTAGAGAAAGTAGCCCAAATACCCTCAGAAAAATGCATCCCAAAGAAAGAAGCCTGATCACTACGCCATCATCAAGTTCCCCTGGCCACAGGGTCATTGACGAAGAAGATGGAGGACAAAACTGCTCTTGCATTCACTGTGGATGTCAAAGCCATCAAGCAGCACATCACACAAGCTGTGAAGAAGCTGTACCACACTGATGTGGCCAAGGTCAATACTCCGACCAGCCATAGTGGAGAAAAGCCATGTTCCACTGACTCCTGATTATGATGCTTTGGAGATTGCCAAGAGAATTGCAATCATCTAAACTAGTTTAGCTGGCTAATTCTAAATATACATTTTTTTAGCAAAAAAGAAAAGAAAAGAAATGGAGAGAAGTAGGGAGGGAGGAAAGAAATAAAGATTATGTAGAGGGAAGAAATGTCAAGAGTGGCACCACACCTGCCTCGCAACCACAAGGTCCTGTGTTCGATCCCTGGTACAAAAATAAAAGGCTTCCCAGAGATAAAATGCCAGCATTGAGAATTTGTCAGATTACAAGGTACCGAAAAACTTAAGGGAAACTGTCCTTGTAGAATCCTCCCTGTGTCCTTAATACCTAAGGTGCAGTAAATCGGGAGTGAGAGAATGGATTCCAGGAATGTATTATTTAAGAATTTGAAGCTACATCCAAGATTTGGGTGTGCATGTTTTTGTTTTATTTGGCTTGGTACAGGAGATCAAACTCCAGACCTTGAATTTACCAGCAGGCTGCGGCACCACTGAGCTAAATCCCAGCCTACATCCAAGATTTGGAAACCCAAGATCTGTCTGTGTTAGGGCTCTTACTTAGCAATCCCAGCATGCATTTATTTACGCTCTACACTCAAGTGCTTTAAATACATCATTGTAATTAATCTTCCCAGCCTTTGAGTGGTCAAAAATGGCCTTCTACACCTTTGGAGAAGTGACAGATCTGCATTTGGAGAGGGAGGACATGGAGAAGAATCACTCTTCAACAGATAATCTTTAGGTGCAAAGCCAGAAGATCAGGTCTGAAGTGACACCATCTTCTCTGTCTTCCTGAGAAACTTCTTCAACCCCCAAATCAGTTTGGAATCACCTTGTCATAGCAAAATTGATTCATGGTGACTTCTAGCATTTCTGGAAAACTTACTAAAGAAACGTAACTGTAAAACTCATATGAAATCAGCTATACTAAATGAAACTTACTATGCTAATTATCTTCAAGATTCCTTTCTAAAATCAAAGGGCTTGCTAGGGTACTGTAAATATAGAGAGATAATCATGTCTTTTTAAACATATAATTCTAAACTTAACCAGAATTACAGATTATATATCATGAAATGTATATGACATATTATGAAATTAAGCAATTTAAGAAGTTACATCCAAAAATGGCAATTAGAGTCTAACTAAAAAGAATGGTACAGAGAAAAAAATTAAGACCAATATTTTACCAAGATTATCTGTTATTCTGCTCTGTGATATAATACTTTGCCTCCTTCCTTTCTGTGAATAATATGCACTCACAAACTTGACTTCCTATTAATGAAGCTCCTTTTTAAAACTGTTAACTTGAAGGGAAAGCCTAGAAGTGTTATTTCTTTTTTTGTTTGTTTGTTTTTGTTTTGTTTTGTTTTGTTTTTGAGACAGGGTCTCACTATGTAGTTGAGACTGACCTGGAACTCACTGTGTAGCCCAGGCTGGTCTCGAACTCACAGCAATCCTCCTGCCTCAGCCTCCCAAGTGCTGGGATTACAGGCATGTGCCAACACTCCCAGGAGAAGTGTTATTTCATTAGTGTTAGGGTTTCACAAATCACAGATAGAATTTTCTTCTGAACCTAGCAATATAGCCTAATAAGGCAGCATTAATTTTTGTTAAACATTTATTCTCAATAACATATAAAGCCATAATCTCAGCTTCAAATTTCTGCATAAAATTAAATAAGTATTGAAATTTTGATGGTTAGCATGTTTTAAACCCTCTTATGGAGGAGTTGAATATTTTGTGAGTCTTAACCTAGTTACAAATGCTTTGCTACATGCACACATGCCTATATATCTTTTTCCTTTTTTTTTTTCTTGGTACCAGGGATTGAACTTGGGTCCTTGCGCTTGCAAGGCAGGCCACCAAACCACTGAGATAAATCCCCAGCCCCTAGTGCCCATATTTCTTAAGGATGTGACTTACGGTCACATTAATTCCTCATTGTGAATAAACTTGTACTTTTACATTGGTTAACTATGTACCAAATTCCCTATTATTTTGTTTTTTGTGCAATATCAAAATGTTCTATATTTTTAGAAATATTTTATTTTTATGCTTATTTCTGTAAATGCTTTACTAAGGCATTTCACAAAGGAGATCTAGCATAAAGTATACTTATTAGTATAAGCAGAATTTCAGTCACTTAAAAGCCCTAGCTGTAAGGTTGGACAATAACTTGACTATTCATTTTAATAATTAGACTAGCTGGAAATCACAGAAAGAGTTCATTACAGTGGAATAATGTATATGGAGGAAAGAAGGAGAGAGGTTCATAGAGTTCAAATACAGATGAAACTGCTTTAAGATAAATAAGTTTAACAGAGTCTAGAGAATACTAAATAATATCTTTTGGGAACATGAAGAAGAATTTAGAATTGCAAGCTTCTAAAAAAATGGGAAACAAAAGATAGAGTATTACAAATAAAGATATCAGATAAATATAGAATTTTTGATTGATGAAATTTTTTATTGAATAAAATTTGCGAAAGAAAAATGGCTTAGCCAGGCGTAGTGGCACACACCTGTAATCCCAGCCCTCGGGAGGCTGAGGCAGGAGGATCGCTGCGATTTGAGACCAGCCTGGGCTACATAGTGAGTTCCAGGTCAGTCTCAACTACATAGTGAGACCCTGTCTCAAAAAACAACAAGCAAACAAACAAAAGTGGCTTAAATTTTGCCAGTATTGACTGCAAGTATAATGAACTACAGTAGTTACTAATGGTGTAGATGCATTCAATGATGTAATTATTTTCTGTATATTAGTATAAAATGGAATTTTTGGATTAAATAGTACTTTTGTTACATTTTTAAATCCATTGCTTTTACCTAATAAAAAGCCCTCCTCTATGTCCAGACATTTTTTAAAAAGTCAAGAATTTTTTTTCATTTTTGTGGTACTGTGGTTTGAACCCAGAACCTTCACATTACATCCTCCACCCTTTTTCTATATTTAATTTTGAGACCGGATCTCTCTAAGTCTTTAAATAGCTCAAAATGGACTGTAATTTAAAATCCTCCAGCCACAGCCTCCCAGAATGCTGGGATTATAGATGTGCACTACCACACCTGGCTATCAGGAAAATTTCTTCTCAATAGCCTCAGAGATAAAAGAGAAAACACTGTATCCACGAAGGAACAAAAAAAATTTTTTTTAAGAAAAAAAGGAATGATCAGAAAATTGGAGGGCAAATCTAAGACAGCATTTAGGTTTCCAAAAAGAGGGAATTTCAGAAAGATGGAAAAAAGAAATAAATTCTGCAAGCATTCTGGAGCATGTATATGAAAAGGATATATACATATAATGAATCAGAAAGCAGGATGACTTCAGAATTCTCAGTAGAAATACAACAAAGCAGAAAGAAAGTATAACTTTCTTCTTAGTCCATAGCCAGGCAAACACTTAACTGAACATGAGAGAAACATATTTTCAGTCATTTAAGTCTCAAAAAACTTACCTCCCAAACTTGCTTTTTGAGGCAATTTAGTGAAACAGAGAAAGCAAGAAAACCAAGAAAAGCAGGGAGCAGGAAACCCACACAGGAGAGTGGTAAAGAAAATCTTCCCCAAGAAAAGGGAGAGTTCAGGATAAGGCACAGAGGGCAGCCAGTTCAGACTGGAGCAGTAGACTCAAGAGGCAGTTGTGTTGGAGGACTGGAGAAAGGAGCAGGTAAGGCTGGGAGGAAGAAACAGGGACTCTGAAATCAGAAAAAAAAAAAAAAAAAAAAAAAGAAAGAAAGAAAGAAAAAAAGAAAAAGAAAAGAAAGAGATGATTCCTAGGAAGATAGTAAAAAAAACTCACAAGATAACTTAGAGAAAGAGTAGAAGAAAAGCAGACAAAATTTATTGTTAATTTAGGGTTACCAGGAAAGGGGGGAAAATTGTTCTA